CCATCCATCCATCCATCCATCCATCCATCCATCCATCAATGAAGCTTTATACCTTTCCCAACCCATTCCATCTATCTATTTTCATTCATTCACTGTTTTTTTTTAAGTTGTCTATTCACTCATTCATTTTCTGTAGTAACATTATAATAATCATTTTCTCTCTCTTTTTATACCAGATGTGACATTTGGTTACAATGGGCAACCTGATCTGTTTTGTAAGGTAGATTTTGGTATTGACATGTCAACACGAAGTAAGTGTCACTAATTTCATGATAATCAGTAAGAAATATTAGATATTCATTATTTATTGATTATAATTTTCTAATGCTTTCTATTTTATTAAAATGTTCATTTTTATCAACAGTTGCTATTGTTGGTAATAATGGTGTCGGAAAGACAACATTTCTACGGCTCCTAACAGGAAATCTCACACCGGTAATCTTGTGTTAAATGTTTTAAAAATTGTCAAAATTTGGGTGGCAGGGTGTCTGTTTGTATTGTAAAATATAAGCTTAAGTCATGTGGAAATTTCAGGCTCCTAACAGGAAATCTCACACCGGTAATCTTGTGTTAAATGTTTTAAAAATTGTCAAAATTTGGGTGGCAGGGTGTCTGTTTGTATTGTAAAATATAAGCTTAAGTCATGTGGAAATTTCAGGAATAAAAGAAATAAAAGAATAATGACCTGGTGGAGGGGGTGGAGGGGATTGTGACCTGGGGGTGGGTGGAGGCAGTGATCCATTGGTATTTGTCTTGATGCTTGGTTTTCAACTAAAGTATTTTWAAGTCAAAGCAATTTTCTGTGCTTCATTTTATAACAGAAAAAAGGTGACCTAATCAAGAACCATCGTCTGGTAAGAGAAATAGAGAAAAACAATAAGTGTTCCTCAATAACAGATTCATTTACTCAGGGATAGCCTTATTTCAGTGTCTAAATATTCACAAATACGCAACGGTAGAGTAAAGAATGCATAACCTACAGGTGAATATTACGTGCAAGCRCACGCTCATTTGTTGAATTGTGCCTCTTGCAGAGATAAATGACATTAAAAAATATCTCTCTCCGTTATTTATTAAATTCACTTCCGTTAAAAATACTAAAACAATTATTTGCCTCAGGCTCACTGAATATCGGAGAATATTTATCTTTCTGCTTGAAGACTCGCATCTTGGTAAACATTCCCTGATATTCACTTTGCCTTTGGCRAATAATTGCTGAATGAATAACTAATAAGGCATGCTATTTGTTTGTGCAGCGAATAGGTACCTACAGTCAACACTCTGCAGATCAAGTAAGTAGAACATATTATATGGCGTTTTCTTGGTCCCATTAATTGAACTCTGATTTATTTTTCTCRTGTCTAGAAGAATGAAGAATTTTTTGTTTTTGTTTTCATTAGCTCAACATGGAGGAATCATCTGTGGAATATTTACAGGTATTCAAGTTACACAACTAAACGATTTTTAGTTTAGTTTGACTTTAGTTTAGTTCTAGAATCGTCTAAGTACTTTTCATATAGAAGCTTTGCAACATCACGTGGGTGGCAGCCATGACAGGAGGCAGGAACAATTAAATCTGGTCTGATTTGCATTAGAAAGAATTCAGTTTCCCTGGGGGGGGGGGGGGGAGACTTGTTGTGCATCCTGTCATGGCTGCCTTCACGTGGTGTTACGAAGCTTCTATATGAAAAGGTTGATGGTGCTCAGTCTCTATGCAGTTTTTAGATGCAGCACATTTTCTCATGTTTCTGCTCTCATTGTTCATTGTTTTCTATCTTACATTTTGATAATGTTTTCAGGCAAAGTATAATTTGGATTATCAAAATTCAAGGAAACACTTGGGCCGGTTTGGTCTAGCAAGTCACGCCCATACTATTAGGATCAAAGACCTTTCAGGTAAATACTCATTCTGATTCCATTCCATTCATCCTACTTTGACTGTCTTGCCTTGTTCTAGCCTTTTTGKTAAAGAAAGAGAGATAACTAGACCTCTTTCCCTTGAGGGTAATGTTCCCAATTTCAGACAACGCGTCGTTTTCTAGAGTATCACTTCTTAGTTTTGATGGTTGCGTACGAGAAGACACGTGACTATAGATACGACTCAAAGAAAATGACACGTGGTCTGAAATAGGGAAACATTATGCCCAAGCTAAAGAGGTCTATTTCTTAGGTATACAGATATTTCAGATTTCACAAAAGTTTGATGAAGGTTCTGTTGCATGCTGCATTAATAAGCCGGAAATGTATTGTTGATTATATGTAAATGATATCAGCACAGAAGAAAGAATGTCACAAAGACGTGCAATTTGGGAAAATTACTACTTTTTGACTGTTATAAGTTTGGTAAACCTTTTTTGAATTTTTCCTTTAAGGTGGCCAGAAATCACGCGTTGCGTTTGCAGACATGGCCCTGAGTAATCCAGACGTCGTCATTCTGGTTTGTATTCTTTATTAAATCATAGTTTAATATGCATTTTTTTTTTTCATTTTCAGTTAGTTGTTTGTCTTTTGCATTCCTTTGACCAATCAGCTGCTGATTGGCTATTGCTCTTGACAGCTGTTCCATGCAAAGGCTGAATGAGTTTGATGTCGACCAATCAGCACTTGGCTTAAAATTGTAGCTTGAAAGTCTTTTGCATTCCTTTGACCAATCAGCAGCTGATTTAGAATTCTGCCTGCCGATTGGCTATTCCTCTTGACAGCTGTTCCATGCAAAGGCTGAATGAGTTTGCTGTTACCAATCAGCACTTGGTTTAAAATTGTAGCTTGACAGCTATGCAACTAGAAATGAACAGTTTATTTCGAATTCATCAAGAAAAAATGAAATTTATTCACGCGTATTTTATCATTCACAGGACGAACCTACGAATAACCTTGATATAGAATCCATTGATGCTCTTTCTGTGGCCATCACCGAGTTTACAGGAGGTAGTATATAGTCATCCTCTGTGTGCTCTGCTCTGCTCTGCTCTGCTCTGCTCTGCTCTGCTCTGCTCTGCTCTGCTCTGCTCT